CGATGCTCCATTTGCACTTGTCAGAGGGTGAAAGTGACATGAGTGGGACATAAATTAGCGGGCCGGATGGCGCAGTGAGGGTGATGGACGGACTGAACTCGGTGGTCCGGTCCCGACAGCAACAGGTCAACTGCACAGCGCCCATTATTTTTGCAATAGGAGGCTAATTTGGACTAAACTTTTCAACTTAACCTGGTTATTTATTCATGCGTCCTTTTTGTAAATAGGTTCATTGAGGAATGTGTCCTGTCCATTCATTTAGTAAGCTATAGCTCGTAACCGTCATTATGCGTACATCTACAGCAGTTCAAGATGTGGATAAACGACTTTGATTTGTCGTTGATTGTTCGCATGCTTGCAGATCGGCTCTTAGGACAATATATTGTATGCCTGTATGTCTGTCATCCATTTATGTCTCCTTTCAAACAATCGTCGCTAGCCCGAGTCGGACTGAGCAGTGAGCCGTTTCTGTACAGGCTGACACACCTTTATGTTCAGCACACATACATCAGCTGGGGCGTGCCGGAGCGGAACCGTGCCGTCTGTCGCGGGGTGTCGCCGATTGAAACGAACGAGCCCGCCGGCCGACTGTGCTGTAGGCGCATTATCGCCGCGCGATCAATGAGATTGATACCTCGGCCGGCCGGCGCGCCGCGCCCCAGCCCCGACACGCTGACGTATGGCCGGAAACCTTTTTGCATGACTTCTCTCCGCGGCCAGTCTGTGGTAATGGATTGGGGCAGTATATACGAATAAAGGAAAATGTTCGCTACATAACAGTGAGGAAGCTAGACGTAGTCCTCTGAGACCAAGGGATTCGGATGTGAGCGGATGGAATGCATATTCTCTCGAGCTGACATGTGATCAAGGGAATTGACAGGTGAAGCATGCTAATAGCAGCGTCATCGTTCAGTTTCATACAGCAGCAAGACATCGCCATTCTCGAAGCATGCTCATAAATCCAGGTTCGGGATTCAACCAACCACATATTCGGGACCTGCAGGGGTTCCCACTAACGTCTTGAGGCCGCCAGCCGCCAGCTCACAGAGCCCGTCTCGCGACACTTGGAGGAAAGTGAGGAGTGATACATATTCAGTCGAACACTGTTCTTGAACGTAGCAGTTTGTATATCATTTAGGCAAAATTAAATTTAGAATATCTACATCTGACGAAAATTTGGAAGTTCCAATCGAAAATAGGATTTGACCCGTTTTCGATGTAGAATACCTTCACTGAAGATATTTGCGACATCTTTGAAATTGTATTGGTCTTGAGGTGATTTGATCACACTGCACGGCTGCTGTTCACGCCTGTTGTGTCGCAGCTGTTGTTTTATTCATCCTGTTTTGGCGGCCTGTCCCCACCGGCAGCCCGTATGTTAATTCGCCTATTCGCCATTGATTGTGGCGCTTCCCGCCCTTGGTCGCTCTATTGGCGCATGTAAATAGCAGCTGACTGGCGAATGGTTACGTGGAGGTGCAAACTACCTCCGCGTCCTGCAATTAGATGCATAATCACCTTTTGCGCTTAATTACGTGACTTCCGTGGCTTTCGTAATCCACTTGAGAAATATATTACAATATTTTAGTCGCAAAGGGAGCCGTATAACGATGCTGTCAGTGAGATCGACGCCTTCTTTTTCCCGAAATGCCTACCGAATTGACAAAGAAACTACAAAGCTCACACACCTAATGGGATTCTTTAATCTTTTCGTTCTAACCAGGTATTTGGGACTGAGCTAGGAAAATTCAGGAGACATCAGGAGACATTCATCAAAAGCTAGGTACCAAATCCCAATTAAAATCCATGTGCGCTTTTTGCATGTGTCCGAGTGAGTCCCAACTGCGAAAGCCCGTGTGGGACCCATATACAAATGCATATATCCCAGCTGGGTCCCATATGGGCCCCACTTGGGCTGCCCATGTGGGTCCCAACTGGGAAAGCCCACATGGGGCTCAATACAGGCCCCAGATGGGTCCCACATGGGCCCCGTCTGGGGTGACCAGATGGGATCCAGTTGGATGCCCATGACATTCCCATCTGGGTCCAAGGTGGGCAGCCCAAATGGATCCCAGTTTGGTGCCCACTTGGGGCCCATGTGGGCCCCACTTGGGAAGGCTGACTGGGTATTGTTATGGAGTTAGTATTCAGCTATCATAAGCTGCTTCGATGTTTCGTTTATTGTTCTTTTTGATACAGGTTCAGCTCTAATGGATGAGCCATGGTCGTGAAGGTCGTGAAGCAGCCACGAGAAACTGCGAAGATTCAGTTTAAGATTTTGGAAAATGTAGAACGATAATAAAAAAGATCCTAGGTAGCTATTTGATGTGTAATGATTTTGTGCAATGATGTGTAATGATGTCTAATGGATGGTATCGGCAGTGTAATGGCGTTTACAGCGTATGTCTGTTCTGTCAGCGGACGGGGCGCACGATACCCGTGCTCGGGTGCAGGGGCGAGCAGTTACTTCTTACGAGGGGTGCGAAGTAGAAGTAGGAGTCGGAGTCGGAGTCGGAGTCGCCCAGAGTCGTGACAACGAGCCAGGAGTCGGAGTCGGAGTCGGAGTCGGAGTCGGTCAGGAGCCCGCAGTGGAAGTCGGAGTCGGTTGGAGTCGGAACAGCACCACCACCGCGACTCCGAAACTCTGGCAGGGGTTCGGAGTCGGAGACGGAGTCGCCGGGAGTCATGGCAACGAGCCAGGAGTCGGAGTCGGAGTCTTAGTCGGATTTGGCACCACCACGACTCCGCAACACTGCTTCGTACCATAAAAATTAGGATTAGCCATTGCACGACTGACGAGCCGACCCGCTGCTAATGAAGCGACGGGTAGGTACGCCTCGGGAGCTGAAGCTTCACGGAAGATTTTGCGCACAAGTGCGCAGTTTGCTTTTAGGTTCCCCTTACGCAGAATTGAACAAAGAATTATTCTGCCAAAAAGCTAAGTGGAGGTTGATGGAGACCTTTTTGTGTGCCCAATGAAACATTAACGTAATTTTGCAAATGCTGCTTTGGTGACACTACAAATAGAATGCAACGCCGTTCCTGATTTTTAACACGCATGGGATTTATTTTTTTAATTTGACTCAATGAATGCTTTGACATCAATAAAATTAGACTGCGTTCTAGAGTTCTTCCAGAGCTGTCGAATATCGTTAGAATTTTGACAATCAGATCAGTAGTTTCGGAGATAGGAAAGCTGGCTCTGTAGAGCCCGAGCCCCAGTCACTCGCGTTACGGAGTACACCCAAATAATGTGCCGGATGAAGTATTCTATGGTTCTGCACTTGAAAAAATGACTTGTAACAACAACTGAGAAGTGACCACCATGAAAGGCTTGACGGACTTCCGTTTTGCCTGCTAATAGCCCCATCGGTCATGCGATGAGCTGGTGGAAAGACATTAGAATATCCTATCTGGCGCCGTGAATCGCTCCGATCGCTTAGACTGCTCATACAATTCAGATTGAGTTTCTCGATAACTCTTCCCGTATCGGAGCCGGAGCTCGACGCCTAAATCTGCCGAGATGGATGGCATCGGCGCCGCACACCGACCCTGACCGCGGCGCGGTCAGGGCAGACCAACGGTCAGGGCAGACCAACGGTCAGGGCGCGGCGGTCAGGGCAGACCATCACTCGATTACAATCGACAGACTTAGAATATTGACACGCTGAGAGCGCGGGTGCACCTGTCGCCGGCCGACTGGTGTGCTAGTCGAAACTCGAAACCGAACCACCGCGGCTCTGAACGGACCGTGACGTACGCGCCAGGTGGCTATAGGATTGGTAGAGTCACCAAAAATTCCAGACAAATGTGTCCTTACAGCCAGGTACATGTACTTGTGATAGGTATGTATACTTAGAAAGCTGATTGAGTGATGAAAACAATGGCCATGTTGTACCAAAAGCATTTAAGTTAAGTATTTGTCGTACCTATCGATCTCTAAATCACTATTTATCCTCTAACAGTCTTGGGAGAGCCATCATAGCTCAGAGGATGTTTGACCAATTCGAGCTGGTACGAGGCGCAGTATCAGTGCGGGACGCTGCACCGGCGCGCGCGGCTGGCCATCGTGCCGCCGTCGGCCGGTGAGCTGACCGAGCGGATGGTGACCGACACGGTCAGCGGCACCCGCGGAGCCTGGATCGGCATGACGCGTCTGCAGGAGTCGGACGACACGTTCGGCTGGATCGACGGCACGCAGCCCGTGGCCACGCGCTTCAGCCCCAACGAGCCCAACGGCGACGGCGACTGCGTGCACATCTGGGGCCCGGAGCCGGGCTGGACCACCGAAGGCGGCGTGGCGCACGGCTGGAACGACCTGCCCTGCCACTATGGCCTGAACATTCTCTGCGAGATTCAGCTAAAGTAAACTTTCAGCGGCATAAATTTGCATGTATGATTGTCGATGCTCATGCAAATATGTTAATACATTTTGGCTAATGTCAGCAACTGCAAACAGCAGGTTTTGAAACATCGATGGCAAACAATAAACATACCTACCCCGTAGCCTCACAATTAATGCATCAACAACCTCGCAGAACATCGCGTAGGAAGCTGCTTATTGCCTCAAATGCCTCAGGGGGCCGATTAAAGGTCGACGTCTTTAAACCATGCCCATGTGACTAGGCACTAGGCGCGTTAATATCATCAAACTAGGCACGTTAACGCCATTAAAGTTTAATAAAAGATGGGGACTAAAGCGCCACTATACTCCCGCTTCTTTTTTAAGGGCTTGGATAGCCCTCGACCGCAAACATTTGACCCATTAAGCGGTCGCTGCGTCTAGAGTTGTCATTGCCGGCCGTCGGTAAACCCAACATACCCAGCCCATGTCAGACTCCCCGACTGTGGCGACTGCTGACTATATATACCGATGACGTCACGGCCTATCTGGCGTCCTGGAAAGGGCTTGCAACCGTCTGAGGGTCTCCAGTATAAACTGAGCGTGCGGCCACTGCGGGTCCGTCTGCCGGAGCCGTCCGAGATCAGATCTGATCGACATGGTGTCCAGGTCCCTCCTCTTCACCGCGGCGGTGCTGCTACTGGTGTCACCGACAACGGCAGCTCCCCCGATCGCCACCCTGCAGGATGTCATCAACAGGCTCACCGCCTCGTGCCAGGAGAGTGTCGGCGTCCTGGACTCGTTCCAGACCATCATCAGCGGCCAGGACATGCTGAAGGACATGCTGACGGCGCTGCAGCAGAAGGTGACGCCCGCGCCGGCCGTCTGTCCGGACGGCTGGACGCAACACCTGGACAGCTGCTACGTCATCCCGCCGGCCAAGTCCGCCTGGCACGGGGCGCAACACCACTGCGCGGCGCTGGACCGGCGCGCGCGGCTCGCCTCCGTGCCGCGCGAGGCCATGGACTTTGTCAGGGAGCTGGTGGCGGCCAGCCCGGCCGACGGCGTCTGGCTCGGTCTGCTGAAGCTGGCCTCCGATCACTGGGTGTGGATGGACGGCTCGCGCGCGGTGCTCACCGCCGGTGACTTCAGCCAGGGCGAGCCGAGCGGCGACGGTCCCTGCGGTCACCTGTTCGGGCCCGGAGATAGTCTTCAGAGAACGGGACTCAACGACAGGGTCTGTGATTTCAAACTGCACTACCTCTGTCAGATCGAGCTCAATTAGTGCAGTGCTAGAATGTGCGATGTCAAATTATGTGTTTTCATGCAAAATAAAGCGATATCCTAGCTTCGAACTATTTTCAGCGAATCAGATATGAACCCACGCCAAACCAAATGGAAAAATGTCACTGTGAAGTAGTTCAAAACTCACACCAACGACATTGAGTACTCAAACGTTTTCGGAATGTCAGGAATGAAGTCTTTCGTAGAACTGAAAGCCCAGTACCTAGGTGTTTTGATGATTGTCAATTGCGTAAGTAAAAGTGATGTGCAACTAAAACACGTTGCACACGGGCTGCGACTCGCACGTGATAAGCGCTTCAATTATTTTAAAAGTATAGGTACTTAATATACTTAAAATCCAATTGATCCTTCCATTGACATTGGACATGCTTGAAGCTAAACATACCATAAAGTGGGGCTATTTGAGACAGTGGGGCTATTTGAGACAGTATTTAAAATCGCTATAAAATGAAGATCGTTTGATTTTTGTGTGATATTTTTGCTCAGGGAGGTGTGGAATCGAGCAGTAAATCGCCTGAGCAAAAAATTAAGCATAAATTTTAAGTGGTTTTTATTTTATAGCAATTTTAGATACTGTCTCAAATAGCCCCACTGTCTCAAATAGCCCCATCTTAATTCTTTGTAAAAACTATGAATTATCTTAATGGGATAAGACAATTTCTTCCGAAACAATGGTCGCTATTCATCGAAAATCGTCGATAATTTCCCGAAACATATTTGAAGCTACGTAGCAGGCATCATTGTATTGTTAACTTGACCCTTTACTCAGCCGTTCGACAACCTTAACCCTCGCCGGCACAGGCCATTTTGCGTCCTACGACGGCACAAGGGGGGAGGTTGGTAGTGGTACGACCACCCCCCCCCCCCTCGCGTTTGGCCCCTGATCGAGCTAGAGCTTCGCGGAAAAAACGAGCGTATTGCCCGTCACGAGAGGAAGCCGATGATACCCAATTTTAAGGTCCTAGGTCATCGGGTGACCTTTCAGGTCAGGTCAATGACCCGAAAACCGGGGAAATCGGGACCTGTTAGAAAGTCGTAATGTGTGGCTGCTATGCGGTTTTCCGGGGTGCTGATCACGAATATCGTGCTAGTTTTGATCAGAGATGATGTTTTTAAGCATTAAGACCAGGTCGGGTCAGGTCAGGTCAGGTCAACCGGTAGGGGTTGTGACGGGTATTCGTAATACGTGTCAACCGCCTCTGACAGCTTCGCAACATGTTACGAAGGCACCAAAACTACTTCGTAAATGTTCAAATGGTTGCTAAATTCGAATTCAGCTCCAAAAACTAGCCTAGAAACATGTAAAACTCGAAAAGTGAACCGAGGTCACCTGAGGTCACCAAAGGTCAATGACCTGACCTGACCTTCAGGTGACCTTGACACCCACCCTAATGTACGGGAGCAACATCAAATCACATGTTTGAACGTTTGAAACCACGAAAAGCTTGCAAACGCGCGGCTAATGCGGGCCGACATACGCCGAATCGCGATTTCGGCCAAACATGGTCACGAAAAAGAGGTCACAGGTCAAAGGTCATTGGGGTTAGGGCCATGAAATTTTCAGGGAGCGTGTAAAATTGATCAATGCGAGGGTACTGAAAGTTTCGTCGCAATCGGCCGCTTTTTACGCGAGTTATTTGCGAAAAACCTTAGGGGGGTTGCATCAACCCCCCCCCCCCCTGTGCCGGCGAGGGTTAAGTGCTTTCAGGCTCTCTGCGGTCCGCTCCCTAACCTATGAGCGATATGGCACACGTAGGCGAACGGTTTCGGTATGTACGGCTCTCGCGAGATTAAGCGGTAGGTTTTGCACTTTTACATTTCCGGTTATATCTCAGAAACTAATCCATCTACCATGAAGCCATTTTACACGATCATGGCCGGCTTGTTACCCAACAAGTCGATCGCATCTTCAACACTTAAAAGCTTAAGACGACAAAGATATAGCCAGAAGTACACTAAATTTTCTAGGTGCAAAACCTTCGTTCACAGTAGAAGACAACACTGAACCTGCTGTCATGCTTGATAAAAACGCAAATTTGTCATATTCGTGGGCTTTCCAAACTTCTCTCATATCATCCATTTTCGTGATCCTGACTCGGAAATGTGGTTTAACTTTTCAAAATTGGGTCCGAAGAAGCTCACTTTATTCACGGAACTGCTGCAAACTGGTTTGTTGAAAAACTGTCATTTTTTCAATAAGAATTTTTGAATCATATTATTAATAACGTTGTGGGGCAGGTTCGTGCACGCACTGCCTAGGGGCACATTCCTGCATATTTTTTCGTTTTTGCGATTTATGACTTTATCTGTAGTAGTGACGCTCGCCTGACTCAGTCTCGGCTGGTTGCGACGTCGTGACAAGTAATTCACGTGTCCTTGGAGAGGTCACGGAGGCGGGTCGATGGCCGGCGGTTGGCACATTCTTGTTGGCCCGCCCATTCTTTCTACATATGTTGTGCAATGCATTCTTGTGGAAAGGAATCAAGTAAAATGACCCCCTGCCAATTTCTTTTGGTAAATTTCTGGCAATGCCCGGTAATTCTTCCAATTTTGCAGGGTGCACGGAAGTGCCCCACCACATGCACGAATGTGCCCCATACCTGAGGCAGTTCGTGCAAACGTTCGGGGTTATAAAAAGTCATTTTTCAATAGAAGCGGTAACTTTAGAGGATAAGTTTTAAGAGGAAAAATATCTGCAATAGTTCCTTTCCATACTACGATCAACAATTTTGCTATTGCACTAACCGACGAACAGATATATGGATTTATCGATTTTTTGCACGAATGTGCCCCACTCTCCCCTACTGGTATTACCAGAGCCTGTCTGTAGTAGCTGGTATACGATTTGTTTGGGCCACCGCATGGTGCTATATATACAATACCTACCCACATTGCATATGCAATATGCACACTGACGTCCTGCAGAGTTGTTTGCACCGTGCAGTGACAGTGAACACTCTGTCCGTGGGTTCGTGACTTTCGTCCCAAAGCACAGAGGCGAGCCCTGTCCAATAACACTACTCTCCGTAGTGGAGCAGCTCCGATTAGGGCACTCGGCACCCCTCCCCCTTCCCACCCTCTCCTTCTGAGCCCAGCTGACTGATTGGACCCCTTCCCTCCCCGCGAACCTGAAGACGAACACTTTGAGCTACCACAGCCTCCCATTTCATAGCCGCTGAATGCATAGATATCACCGTTCTTTCCAGGTGTGTGAGAGATAGGTACCGGGCCAGTTAGATTGTGACGCCCATTGTTTAGATGTATGGGTGACCAGTTACCGATTCACCGACAGCACGGACGTCGGACATCTGATGGCTAAGTGGGAGCGTTGCAATGGCAGTGACTTCTCTGAATCAATGTAGGTAAATACACATTGGTCTGAGTATCAACTGCATGGGAACTCCAGAGGCACCTAATGACGCACGGCTGATGACGTGCGTGCTAAAAGAACAGCTAATCGAGTTTATGACAAGATCATCGCCGCGACATGTGTTGAGGGTCGTCCATCCACTCGGGCTTGAGGCCATTTTTCGGAACGTGGCACGGAATAACCCATGTTCAAAACGCGTAATATTTGCATCAGTTGACTCTTGACATGTTCCAATGCAGCTAGGGGTGCTGGCACCAATCAAAGTCCGAAGTTGACGTCCAGCCCCCTCCCCGCCCTGGCCTCTCCAGTCCCATGATGACGCTTCTGTTGAATAAGCATGGCCGATCGACGCTGGTGGCGCCGCCGGCCGTCCCGCCAGACGCGGCCAGAGCTGCACTCGTCCGACCACCTCCAGTATAAACCTGGCGTGCAGCCGGTGCGGAGCACTCTGCCCCCGGCCGTCTGAGCTGAAAGATTGACATGGTATCCAGTTCGCTCCTCCTGTCCGCTGCGGCGCTGCTGCTGGTGTCGCCATCGACGGCGTCCTCTGCAAGCGGCGCCGTCCAGGACATCATCGAGCAGCTCTCGACGGGCTGCCGTGCCGGCATCGACGACTCGGCGGCCGTGGAGGAGATTCGGCTCGGCCAGGAGGAGATCAGCGAGATGGTCACGTCCATCCAGAAGCAGGCGGCGCAGGAGGCTGAGGAGTGTCCCAGCGGATGGACGCGACACAGAGACAGCTGCTACCTGATCCCGCTGTCCAAGTCGAGCTGGTACGAGGCGCAGCACCACTGCGCGGCGCTGGACCGGCGCGCGCGGCTCGCCACGGTGGCCCCGTCGGCGGGCGACTTCACGGAACAGCTGGTCGCCTCCACCAGAGGCAGCTACGGCGCCTGGATCGGCCTGTCGCGTCTGGAGCAGGCTGGGGAGTTCGGCTGGATTGACGGCGCGCGCCCGGTGGCTACGCGCTGGAACACGGGTGAGCCGAGCGGCGACGGCGACTGTGTGCACATCTGGGGGCCGGAGCACGGCGCGGCGAAAGGCTGGAACGACCTGCCCTGCCATATCGCCAGTCATATCCTGTGTCAGATCAAACTGAGGTAAACGTACCGCGCTGAATACCTGTGTGGATTGTCGATGATGCTTATGCAAATACATGTTTCAACATTTCACTTGCCTTTTTTGTCTCTGCTCTGTCGTAGGATAACTAAAAGTGACGACATTTAGGGACCAATGGTCTCATGCAGGCCAAAAATTCACATAATGATTCATTACATTTACGATAGGCTATTGAATCACATCCGAGAGAAAGCAAAGCACTGAATAAAAAACGGCTATTTTCACACAATTGGAGAACTAGGCCGTTGCCCGCCGCCATCCTGCATTAACGCCTTTGATTGATCAGCCGGCGCCAACCAAGCGTTGACCTATACATCAACCCCCTATCGGCCTCTGCGCACCACTGAAAAGCTGCTCTGGCAACAATCAGTCTCATGTCGGCGAGCTATGCGGTCCGCCCGCTGCTAAAGGGTTAATGGAGATGGAAGGGCGCGACACACGATCAGCTGATCGATGCTGCGTCATTGATTGAGGTAAACACAGTAGCCCATTCTCCATGGAGATTAATGAATGCCCTCAAGATCTGCTACAAGGCATTGTGCTATGCTGAGCATGAAAAATACCTTGCCATAATAAGAGTCGAAGTGTTAACCGCTAAACTTTTACCGGGGTTACATGAGCAAGTAAATGCGTATCAGGAACGGATTTTCCTATTCGCTCACCATTGTAGTCCGTTTGTAATTCGTATTGACTCTGCTCATATAACCCCGAGCATTGACATGTCTCCACCTTCAGATAAATGTAAGCATTCAAACGGTACCCGAATGTGTTTGTTTGATGATGAAGGCTGGGCTTGGGCATCGGTACAAATATCAGTAAATAGACGTTTTTATAAAATGTAACTCAGTATGGGCAGCATGCCACCACTTTTCATTTAGTCTATCTTCCCGCCTCCCGGTTAGCTTTTGAACTTTTTATGTGCGAGTAGGTACCAGCCAAGCCGTTTATTCATCTCGATAATCGTGTCACTAAATTCAGAGGAGGCGCTCGTCTTGCTCTGCATAGTAATCCAGAATGTTAAGAAAGCCGCATCTACAGTAGGACTGTAGGACTGTACCTCTTGGACTACAACAGACCAACACCAGAGTTCAGTCATCAGTATCATACATCAGTTATAGACTGAACACAGAAGTGTTTGCCATTTATCCAGCAAGTGAACTGCATTGCGACAATAACTACTACCAATGAGAGCGGTTTTAGAGTCATGTTCCGTGTTTTAGGCATATGTTGTGTTTGCGTCCACCATTGCACATCTACAGGAACCCATGTAGGAACCCACACCCCAAAAACAGCTGATCCCCCAAAGCTCTGTTGGCATTCAGTAAACATTTTTCTGGCACGGACGTTGCGGTAAAGACGGGGACCAGCTCAGCATCGCCTTTTGTCACCTCGCTCGGGCTCGACTTTGGCGGTATGTCTTATCCGCGCGCTTCCCTGCATAAAGTGGCCACATACATATATCGCCACATGATGTATGGTCGGGTGCCGTCCGGCGGTACTGTGGGGCTGGCGATACTGCAGGCCTGGGCGCGGCTTCTCATAGCAGCTCTATGGAAACAGCACGATTTTAGAGGTGCGATGCTCGTCTCTATTTGACCTTGCTTTGGATGATAAGAAGGGTTTGACTGATATTAGCAGTGCGAATTTATGTGCTATACTGCTATACCCTGATTAACTTTGCTTGCAAGTTGCAAGGCGCAGCTAAGCATCTGTTGACATCTTACCTAACTGCTGACTGACGCTCTCTGAAGAAGCACCCCAAGCCTCAATGATTCATTCAAGCCAAAATGGAAGCCGGTCCGATATAATTCTCGCTTCACATGACACATTGGTCCGGAACCTCGCACAGTCAAGCAGTTCCACTGCGTGAAATTAAGCCATTTGAGGGTCCGCTGCTCCATTTCAAAGGCAGCCCCGACCATATCACTTCTGCACGGACCACTCTGTGAAGAGAAATGGCCCGACTATCCATAATTTACATCTCCTGCCTCAGTCGATGAATCAGCATTCATGTAAATTTTCCTCGATAGCATCTGTTTTTCTCAGTGAAATGGGTCCGAAAATGGTTGCGCATTCGGCATTCAGCTGTCCTGTCTATCCCAGAAGGAGGAGGCCTTGTCCGAATCTCCCGACGATAAGCGATTATGGAAGGATCGTAACGCATATCAGCCTCAGGTGATATTAGGGGGGCGATATGTTACCACACACCCTGTCGCGTTTTTTGCGTGTGAATAAAAAACCGCGGCGAGTAGCGCCGCGCCGCTTGGAGTAGCTTTCTGTACATCAATTGTGGACAATGTGTGAAATTTTTGACCCCAGGTCATGTCAGGTCAGGTCACCAGGTCAAGTTAACCGACCAAGCCTAAAAAAGTTTGCAATCATGTCCAGCCTGCAGTGTTTGTCAGAGAGGTTTTAAGCTTGATGAATTGCATGGGACGCCTGTAATTTGCATATCTCGGATTTTTTATATCCGTGACCCAAGGTCAGGCCAGTGCAGTGGCGTGACCTTACCATTAGGATAAGGCAATGGCGAAAATGAAAATGCCTCTAGATCCGTATGTACGCATAGGAATAGCCCAAATATTTCAGAATCGCAATTATTTGGACCACCCGTGATGACCAAGGTGTCCGATTTTTGCTGATAGCCTCTAGAAAGGTCATCCGAGGTCATTTGAGGCTACAAACAGATTTTTGCCAATAACTCGCGATTGGAAAGAGGTAGAACGCTGGGGATGGTCTCATTGTGTTTGTCTTGTTGAGATGCATCGACTGATATGCAACATGACCTTTTCCGGTCAGGTCACGACCTTGACCTGAGGTCAAATTTTTAAGTTGATCTTTCAAGGTCAATTTATAGTTCATTCGACGCGTCTCGGCGAGAGGAACACGATTTTAGCAATAGAAATATCGTGGCTTTTTTTAGTCGAAAGCTATTGTCGAAAAACAGTTTTCGTAAAAACAGCTATTTTTGGAGTTTTTGCCCTCTGGAGGCTAAACTGTTGACCTGAGGTCAATTTTGATAATGACGTTATCAAAAGAAGAGCTCAAAAGCTGTCGATTGCTTTTCCATGTGTTTTTCTAGCTATCATAGTTCCTGAGATAACGGCATGTTTTCTGAAAAATATTATGACAATTGGCAAATTTTGACCTTTGATGACCTCTGGTGACCCCAATATTGCTCTAAGATGAAAAATGACTGAATACTTTCAAACGTACGCATTGAGAGCTATCGACTGCTTTTTACTGCGTCTTTCTAGCCCTCTTAGTCTTTGAGTTAGAGGTGGGTGGTAACATATGCCCCCCCCCCCCACAAGGGCGAAGTTGGCCGAGACCGCCACTGGGGCGCGGGTTAAGCCCAAAGCCCACGTTCTGTGACCAGCCGACTAAAAATTACAACACAACCTGTATACCATGGAAAAGTATTCATTAGCCTATATTTATGTTCAAAAATTATATTTATCACTCAAAAAATAGTCGTTTTAGAGGAAGTTGAAATTTGTCCCAATTTATCTGCCCAACCCTGTATAGCAGCACCCGTCCGGTGTCGGTTCAACAGTCAAACGGTCACCTAGGACCATGGTGAGGCTCATCATCCGAACGAGGACGGGTCGGAGCACATGTGGGCAGAACGGCGACTCGTAAAATCTCAACGGGGCCTTCCTACGATCTTGTTAGAATGTATGCACCCGGGAGTGGACAGTGGAGAGAAGATGCACGACCTATAATAATCGTTTTCACGACGGCCATCTGGTACATATTTGGTGCAGATTAGCTGGTGCAGATTAGGTGCAGATTTGGTCAAATTAGGTTCAGTGTGTCTCTTAGCAGCTATCAGCTAGGGTTGCACTAATTGCTTATATGCCTGCTTTGTCATATTATCAGAGAGTATCATCGATTAAAACACTGAAATAAATCCAAAAGATAAAGATAGTGCTGTAAAAGAGATTAGGTGCAGATTTGGTCAAATCAGGTGCACTCGCCGGATAGCCCGTCGTGAAAACGGCTAATATGCCCGTCCACTGTGCACTGTCGTTCCGGGCTGCTTCTCGTCCACACTGATAATATGCAGAAGGCCACGGTGGACTTAAATTCGGTGTCCACTGTCGCTCTTGAGTGACGACCGCCGACCGCGATGACAAGCAGCGGCAGTTGAATGTGAAGGCGATAAGGACGTGAATTTGGGCGGATAGGTATTGGTACCAATGAGATCTTGGAGAATTTTCCTATAGCGCAAAACACATCCTTTTCATTTCAGCATGGGTAGGTAATTTGATATGAGGATAGTGTTTTTGCTGTAATACCTATGCAATGCATTGTGGAAGCAAAAACTCACGGACAAACTTTTGAACGGTTTACTGAACGCGGCTTGAGCCAATATTTCGGCGTTTCGTATCGTTTGGATACAGATTAATGACCGTTGATCAGGCTATTTGATTCGAGAAAAAAAAAGCGATATTTGCGTTTAACTCACTCTGTCTCGTAATGCAGGGTAAAGAGGATTTGTTACCGGTTGTCCCGATATGTCCTGTCCCTGCTGTCCCGTCCATTTTTATGCTAAACGAGGACACCCAAGCTAGAAACGAAAATGTCAAATGTACTTGTAATTTAGTTTTAACTCATAACCAGTATGTAAGGCTCCTTGTAATTTGCCATCAGCGTCGTATTATATAGGTATATATTGTGTCAGTTACAACTTACATATTCACCTTAGCATCTAGGGATCGTCCTTTTGTCATCAAATTTTATTGTCTTGGTCCTAGGAGTCCTTAAGGCGGAATCTCGTCTCCTCGTCCAAAGAGTGAAGGGGAGACTGGTTTGGATGGGAGAGTCAGAGAGTACGTGCGCTCTGACCGGTCGCTCTCCGCGGCTTGTACGGGCCGCAGAGGCAGCCGTCCGTCGCCGCCGACAGCTGCGACGCAGATGGTTTAATCAAGCTGACAGACTGTCTCCACAAGAACAAAGCAAACATACTTCCTGTCATGTCTAGCTTTTAATAGAAGACAGAATATTCTAGAATCCCGAGATCTTGGACGATCAAAGCTTAGAAATGCTGAGGTGTTCTAGCTGCTATGGATATCGAAGGTGCTTATACGTTCTTATAGGTACGTATAGTTCTTATACGGGTTTGCACTAGTCTGTTTATATTTGCGAGTGCGCTCCCTTCTTTTTCTCAAAGTCTTTGGGTATCCGAGCGAACGAAATGGTCACGGGAATGAATTAATTTCATATGTGTATTTATTTCGGCGGCGGAAACGCGAATCATGCTTTTTGGATTATCCGAGAGTCATCTCTGTCCCTGCATGCAAACCACCATGACTTGTTATAACGGTACAGACCGGCGGCCCTGAGCCCCGGGCCCCGGGGCACGTCTTTCGCCCCATCCACCGGCCCCTCACCTCAGCCCATCTGCCGCCACTGTCTCCCGGCAGTCCCTTCCCAACGGTCGCTCGTCCCAACAAATCGGAGTCTGATACCTCCCTCATTTATACGACTTGCGGCTTGCTGCAGAGAGCCAACTAAACCCACGGCCACCGAAGCAAAGCACCGGAACCAGGCTGAATACGTGAGATGGTTGATGCTCCGCTTCCTGGATGCCGATTCTCGGACCTCGGTGAGTTTTGTGAGTAGTTTCTGTCAGCCGGCCCTCGGTTTCAGAAATGGATAAAACCATAGGCGTCGCCAGAGATTTTCGGTTGGGGGGGGCAAAATCAACTTTTGTGTTAAATCTTGCCTTTTTCCAGTCGTTACTCATTCATTTTACGTATCATTCGACGCGTAATGGTGCGAGGAATACGATGGTGACAAGGTTTTCCTTCTTATGACATGATCATTTTTTTTAACAGAAAATTCAAAATTTTGAAATTTTTGGACAAAAACACGACCGGTAGAATCACAATGGCTGCGATTGCCGACGCACTCTAGAGAGCCCCCGTTCAGACGCTCGTCGCTCATGATCATCACCCAGAAAAAAAGGTTAAAAACGCTCAGTAACGAATCACCTTACTGAAACCTTCATTCACGCATGCATGCAGTCGCAGAGGTTCTACGTGAAATGCATAGGGCTCATCCCAGCCGCCGATGGCTAAGTTGGGCTTTCGGCGGAGATTGAATGTCGGAAGTGTGCATCGGAAGTACCTAATTCATCTTTGCTTCAGTGAGAGGAGGCATTTTGTTCACACGGGAGTGTGAACAAAAAGTTTCTCGTTTTTCGTATGTAGGGAAGCGCTGCAACTGCGAAGAAAAGATAACGGAACCAAAATTTTGCACGGCATAGCGGCAAGGGATCCCTTAGCGACAGCCTTGGGATTCCAGGCCATTTTAGGCCACTCAGGGTCAGTGTGGGCTCTCAGAAGCCTTTAGGATCCTGAAGATCGGCGTTGGTCACCCCAAATAGTTACGCGTACGTGGTGCTTTAGGGCTTTCCGAGCCCAAGGTGGGGCCCTCAGAAGCCAGTGTGGGCGGCGGGAGCTAAGAGACCAGGCCCAGGGTGAGCCGGGAGCCCTCAGATAGCAGTGTGAACCCTGGAGGTCTGTGGCGAATCCCTAAGGACCCTACATAGGGACATCAGAAACATGTGCTGGGACCCTCAGAGGCACACTTGAGTTGTGCAAAATCTGTCGCCTCAAAAGCTCGGCTGACCTATCAGAGGCCTAAGGTTCTCAGAAATTTTCGAAAGTACCTATTCTCAAAGATCCGTGTGGCCCTTCAGAGGTCTACGCATGTGTAAGATCCTCAAAGATCCCTGTATGGACCCTCAGAGAATATGGACACCAGTGGGACTCTCAGAGGCCGGTTTGGGCCCTCTGAAGGCTTCTTAGAGCTCAGTGGAGCTCCTTCGGAGCCTGTGTGAAAAGCAAGCTCATGAGCCCTGTGGCACTTGAACGGTACTTGAGTCTGTCGCAGACATTTGACGAGAGTTGAGAAGGCCCGAAGATTTAGTGTCACACTTTGAACGGAAATTTTGTGTCAGCACTTCAAAACTTTTATGAAAATCGGCTATAAAATGTAATAAAGAACCAACTAGGAACATGGAATGAATCACAGTATTGACATTTCCGAGTCTGGAATCAGCGTCGTGAAGATTTTGGCGACTGTGACTCCGACTCTGGCCTGAACTGCACCCTTCAACCGAGTCTGACCTCACAGGCATTCTCAGAAAGGTACCCCCATTTTTTCCCGACTCCAAAATCTCATCGGATCTGTATCGATCTCAGGGGGTGCCCGGTCCGAGGTTGGGGGGGCAAGCTGCCCCGCTTGCCCCCCCCGTAGCGACGCTAATGGATAAAACACCTACTGAATGCATACATGCTGTTTAAGTGCGTATTTCACGGTTTTGCCCGAGTACCGGCCTGCATCGGACTGTCCAACTTTTTGCCCGAGTACCTACCTACCGGCCTGCACCGGAAAGTCCAACTTTGTGTTATGCTTTGTTTGGTTAGGCCGTTTCGGTCCATTTAAACCATTGCGGTGCCTGGAGGATGATAGGAATTAGGGGGAGGCATTGGTCTGAGCAGGCAGAGGTACCCTAGTCACCGGGGCTGAGACCGTGTCCAGCCCCCCCCCCCCCCATACACTCTGCACCCGTCTACGGGTGTGCTTCTTTCGCAGCTGCGGTGCACGCTCCAATGGGTGAGCCGAACGCATGGGAAAAGGGAAAAAGCTGCCTGCTCAGCCCGGAGGCCGGACGGGAAGAGGGGTTGCGGCGTGGAGAAGGATTTGAAGATCTTGAGGATGGAATGGAAACGACGGAACGGGTGCGGGGTGACTGTCCAACTTCGGTTAGCGTTAGGCATATTTCACAGAGAGGAAAGGAAGAGAGAGAAAAGGGTCACGGGCACGGCCTCACGGCTCCGGGCTCACGTTTCGTCGGAACGGGAAACAAGTCGGTGACTCGGTAACAGCATAATTTTGAGGAGCGGTAGGCACACGACTGGCGGTGCCCGTAGGCATTCCCCAATAATCTGATCATCGTGGATTGCCCAATCGGCAATCACCAATGCCCATGAATGAATGATGAATGCATAATTATCAATTCGCATTTAGGTATACAAACCTCCCTTCCGCTAATAGGTAAAGCAGGTAAAATTTGGTAGCATAGATAAAACAAATTGGCTCTACAGCGTCATATATGTCAGATATTCTATTTCCAGTATTTCCTAGAAAGAAAGATGAATTGCGTCATAGAAAAATGCTTTATTGTTACGATTTGCTTTATTTAAGCCTAAGAGAAAAAGGAAATTGCTTTGGGCTTAAAAAAATGGACTTCTGAAAACTATTAAATTGTTTAAGTTGGGCCTCAAAGCCGTTGAGGCCATGTTTTGTTAATTTTGATGGCACCGCATTTACCTTTCGACATTGACATACATTCGACGAATTAAAATCAACCAAACTATGACGTCATAGAACCAATTGATGAAACCGTTTGGACTTTGAGCGCATGAGTGCGATTTGCAACCCTCATACCTTGAGTCCTTGACCACATGCAATATCGTGCGGCGGCGAACAGACCTAGGACATTTTGTAAGTTTTTTTTAAATAAAATACGTTATTGGAGTATCTGCAAGCTGTATAGCATGTGTACCTACATTTGTACATTTATTCTATAAAAGTCATGCATTTACGACTGTTTGTTTCTACCCTGTTGGCCTGTTGTCTAATCTTAAATCTGTCTAATTGTTGATAAATGATGAATGATATTGATGTATCAGCTCCTATAAATTTGCATTAACGTGATAAGGTTTTGAATCTTGACTGATTTTGTATCAAGTTACAATTATCTTTCAATCAAAGTTATTAAGATCAGGTCTGTTCATAACGACATATCGTTAACTCTTGCTAGATGTCTAATTCGGCAAATGTGTAGACAAAGTATCTACTTACCTACGGTGAAGATAAAAAATGATCTAACTTGACCTAACCTTACCTACCAAAATAAAATCTTAAACCTGCAACATGCTAACCTTCAACCTACCAACCTAAAACCTACAGCCAGCATAGACCCGGGAACAGGGGGGGCAGCGGGGGCGCTTGCCCCCCCAACTTGGGAGCCGAGGGGGCGGCGCCCCCTCAACATTGAGGTAGCGAGAAAAGATCTTTCCTCCCTTTTCCGGACTTCTTTCCTTCTTGTTTCCTTTATACATCTAACCATCAACACACGGCATTTTCCTTGCCATCTGAATGGTTTCTGCTGATACAGTATCGATTTGACAACATCTGCTATTGACTTGTCATCCCGCTTTCATTTGGGCCTGACCTTGGCCATAAGTTTGGCAGGCCAGATTTTATACTGCACCAGCTTGAGTCAACTTTGAGAAATGCATAACATACAACGGTGGTAAAATCGTTGCTATAGGTATAACACAGTTTACCCGCTCCGGGTGTGATGGAGGGGTGTGGGGCAATCGGAGTGCCGTTGACGTGGCGCCCTCGGAGGGCCGGTATGGGATTAAAGCTCAGCGAGACGAAGGGCTTGTGTGGTGCCTTCGGTTATCGGTAGCACCCTCAGATTCACCGCGGCGTAGGGCCCTCAGAGCCGCCGGTAAGGGGCCTTTAGAGGCACCGGTGGGGGGCCGCCATGCAGGTGCCGGTGTGGGCGCTCAGAGGTGCTAGTGTGATTCTCTCAGAGGTGCCGATGAGGGTCCTTACAGGCATTGCTGTGGGCCCTCATAGACGCTGGTGTGGAGCCGTTACAGACGGGTGTGGGGCCTTTAGAGTTGCTGACGCGAACTCTCTACAAGCCGGCAGGGGGTCTCATTGACCGGCAAGGGGTCCTTAGGCCGGCAGAAGAAGTCCTGTGGGGTCCTTAGAGACCAGCATGGTACTGTCAGACGCCGGTGGGGCCCTCAGTGTCACCGGTGTGGGGCCCTCAAAAGTCACCAGTGGGTGGCCTTTAGATGCGCAGGTGTTGATTTGGTCCTCAGAGCCGCCGATATAGGGCTTTAATAGGCACTGGTGTATAGGCACTCAGAGTTGGAGGTGTGAAACCCTCAGAGACACCGGTGTGGGCCCTCATAGGCGCCGACGAGGGCCCCACAGGTGCCGTTATGGGGCCCTCAGAAAAATAAGTGTGGGATCATCACAGGCGGGAAATGCCCCTAGAACTGGCCCCTCATAGGCCGGTAAGACCTCTCAGAGGCCAGTAACGGGCCTTTGGAGACCACCGAGGGGCCCTTAAAAGCCGCAAGAGGCCCTGAAAAGCCGGCGTGGGGCCCTTATGGAGATCTTAGTGTGGCTATTTAGGGCCCATGAGGTGCTCTAACGAGCCCCATGGGACCCTTCTGAGTAGAAATATGGCCATCGTTAACCCTCAGCGGTCAAATGGCGCCGCAGGGCGCCTCGGACCCGAGGGTCCCTTTTATCCCGATGGGGGGGGGGGGGGGGGGTACGTGTCCCCTTAGAACCCTAGCTACGCCACTGTTTCATATGCATCATGTCAGGCATTTTAGGCTCGCCCCCCCAACTTGAAAATCGTTCCCGGGCCCCTGACAGCCAGTATTAGTAAAGGAGGCGTCACACTTGTGTTTTGCAACCAAGAAGAGGGACTGTAGGCTAAGTTTAAGGTTGTAGGTAAGGTTAGGTTAGGTTTGGTTAGGTTTGGTTTGGTAAAGTTTGATAAGAAAGCATCTCTGGGTACAACGCCTCTCCTTGGTTGCTTGCAAAAAGAAGTGTGATGCCTGCTTTATGACTACCCCTACAACCTACCAAGTACCAACCCACAACCTAGGTAGGTACCTACTACCTAGGTACCAACTTACCAACCATACTTCATCTCCACATATAATGGTGGACGTTCGGGGAGGTAAATAGAGGGCATGTATTTTGGGATCTCAACATAGTGGCACTTTTTGATATTATTTCAAATTCTTGTAAGTGGTTGATTATTAGATTCTGTGAGCTATATATTTTTAACTTGTGTTGTTAATCTTTTTGGTAATTCAGGAACGCTCACTGCCGCATGCCCTGCAGCCTGCTCTCCTGAATGGCCACCCATATACCAGTGTCTAATCTAGGGCAGTACCTAACTATTATCCTGGATTATCTATAGGCTTTGGAGGAGTTTGGATAAGCTTAGAAGAGGAATGAGGGGAACTGTTCTTGAACAGCCATAGAGAACATTTCTGTGAGGAAATCAGCTGTTTGCAGGAATGTAGGTGCAGTAGATGTTGGATGGTGCACCCTGCACCAGCATTGATTTTGGGATAAAAAAAAAATCATATGAATAACTTTTTTGATAAATTGGAAATGGTTTATTTATTGTTATGAAAAAATACCTTATCCTCAATCCATAGGTACCAGCATTTGTATGCTCCTCAATTCTCACCTCCTAAGCAATTTTTGTTTGTATAATGTGTGCCAAATTTGTCTACCAGAGCCTCACCCGGGGATGTCCGTGAAGTTAGCGTCAGCAACAGCAACGAATACAGCGTCGGATTCAGAATCGCTTCAAAAACTGCTATCAGGTCAATTGGAGGACGGGGAACACGAATATGACATTTATTTTGCCCTAGCTCCCTTCCTTCATCCCTTAATCGTCCCTTAAAGGACGGGGCGCGTCAAAAGTGCCCCAAGGCTTCGTCTGATCGCCAAAATAATGGTCGCAATCGATTCCTCGGGTCAATATCTAACCTCAGTCGAAGGTTCCAGACCTGTGGCTCCTATCCCTCATCCCTTAATCGTCCCTTAAAGGACGGGGCGCGTCAAAAGTGCCCCAAGGCTTCGTCTGATCGCCAAAATAATGGTCGCAATCGATTCCTCGGGTCAATATCTAACCTCAGTCGAAGGTTCCAGACCTGTGGCTCCTATCCCTCATCCCTTAATCGTCCCTTAAAGGACGGGGCGCGTCAAAAGTGCCCCAAGGCTTCGTCTGATCGCCAAAATAATGGTCGCAATCGATTCCTCGGATCAATATCTAACCTCAGTCGAAGGTTCCAGACCTGTGGCTCCTATCCCTCATCCCTTAATCGTCCCTTAAAGGACGGGGCGCGTCAAAAGTGCCCCAAGGCTTCGTCTGATCGCCAAAATAATGGTCGCAATCGATTCCTCGGGTCAATATCTAGCCTCAGTCGAAGGTTCCAGACCTGTGGCTCCTATCCCTCATCCCTTAATCGTCCCTTAAAGGACGGGGCGCGTCAAAAGTGCCCCAAGGCTTCGTCTGATTGCCAAAATAATGGTCGCAATCGATTCCTCGGGTCAATATCTAACCTCAGTCGAAGGTTCCAGACCTGTGGCTCCTATCCCTCATCCCTTAATCGTCCCTTAAAGGACGGGGCGCGTCAAAAGTGCCCCAAGGCTTCGTCTGATCGCCAAAATAATGGTCGCAATCGATTCCTCGGGTCAATATCTAACCTCAGTCGAAGGTTCCAGACCTGTGGCTCCTATCCCTCATCCCTTAATCGTCCCTTAAAGGACGGGGCGCGTCAAAAGTGCCCCAAGGCTTCGTCTGATCGCCAAAATAATGGTCGCAATCGATTCCTCGGGTCAATATCTAACCTCAGTCGAAGGTTACAGACCTGTGGCTCCTATCCCTCATCCCTTAATCGTCCCTTAAAGGACGGGGCGCGTCAAAAGTGCCCCAAGGCTTCGTCTGATCGCCAAAATAATGGTCGCAATCGATTCCTCGGGTCAATATCTAGCCTCAGTCGAAGGTTCCAGACCTGTGGCTCCTATCCCTCATCCCTTAATCGTCCCTTAAAGGACGGGGCGCGTCAAAAGTGCCCCAAGGCTTCGTCTGATCGCCAAAATAATGGTCGCAATCCATTCCTCGGGTCAATATCTAACCTCAGTCGAAGGTTCCAGACCTGTGGCTCCTATCCCTCATCCCTTAATCGTCCCTTAAAGGACGGGGCGCGTCAAAAGTGCCCCAAGGCTTCGTCTGATCGCCAAAATAATGGTCGCAATCGATTCCTCGGGTCAATATCTAACCTCAGTCGAAGGTTCCAGACCTGTGGCTCCTATCCCTCATCCCTTAATCGTCCCTTAAAGGACGGGGCGCGTCAAAAGTGCCCCAAGGCTTCGTCTGATCGCCAAAATAATGGTCGCAATCGATTCCTCGGGTCAATATCTAACCTCAGTCGAAGGTTCTAGACCTGTGGCTCCTATCCCTCATCCCTTAATCGTCCCTTAAAGGGCGGGGCGCGTCAAAAGTGCCCCAAGGCTTCGTCTGATTGCCAAAATAATGGTCGCAATCGATTCCTCGGGTCAATATCTAACCTCAGTCGAAGGTTCCAGACCTGTGGCTCCTATCCCTCATCCCTTAATCGTCCCTTAAAGGACGGGGCGCGTCAAAAGTGCCCCAAGGCTTCGTCTGATCGCCAAAATAATGGTCGCAATCGATTCCTCGGGTCAATATCTAACCTCAGTCGAAGGTTCCAGACCTGTGGCTCCTATCCCTCATCCCTTAATCGTCCCTTAAAGGACGGGGCGCGTCAAAAGTGCCCCAAGGCTTCGTCTGATCTCCAAAATAATGGTCGCAATCGATTCCTCGGGTCAATATCTAACCTCAGTCGAAGGTTTCAGACCTG